TTCGACTCCCGGTATGGGAAACTTAAATTTTTTTAAAATATATTTTTTTTAATGGTGCGATAGCAAAGTTTGCAAAAACGCTTGAAGGATCAGTGTACCTCTTACTTTTTACATACACGTGGGTGTTAATTCCCCTCCAAGTTAAGACGTTTATTTGGACGGTGTATTAACAAGTCAGGTTAAAATTGATTCAAAAATACGTTGCGTTTACACAGAATTCCACTCTTGAAGGCCACACTCTGGAACTCAAGATGTCGCATAGGAAAGCCAGGTTAGTCAAGGTTCTGTCAGTTGTTTCAATTCTTAACTTTCTTGTTTACGCGGTTCATTTTGTAATCAAGCTTTCTCGTCGAAGGATTTTCCAGGAAAATTATGTGATGCGTTGTCTTTTTTGTTATAGTTGTCCAAAAGAAGTGCGTATTACACATCAGAGTGAATTCTCCGTCACCTCAAATTAGCAAAGTACCCTCAAGTTGTCTCTTTCGCAGCCTCTCACTCGTCCCCAATCCTCTCTTGAGAGTTCCACGTTCCCATCTCTCTCGCAAAATAAGAGACAAGTAAGAGGCGACTGGGGTCGAGTCAGTCGCTGCGGTTAACGTATTGTTTTCTTTACAAGTACTATAACATGTACTTGAAAGAAAAAATGTATAGATTAGTTAAGTCATAAGCATTAAAAATAAACGACTGTTCATTTGAATAAACTCTGTGGAGTAAAAACAGCTGCCAGTGAAGAGTCGACAAATGCACGACAAATGAACCAGTCAACGTTTGATATAGTTACGTCTCTCCTTCTTTCAATATTTTTTTTTCAGTGACATGGTTACACGACGCAAATCAGCCTCTATAAAGAAACAAAACAGTTCTAAAATCCTGGTGCGCAATGTGCCTTTTGAAGCGTCCAAGAAAGAACTCAAAGAACTATTTGGGTAAGCAATCGTGGTTTTAATCACATAGCAAAAGAAACTACATGCATGTGTTCTAACTCTGTGGGATTAAGCACACAGTCCAGTAGCACTGAACACGAGTCCTGGCGGGGTTGAGTCCTGTCATAACACCTCGTTTGTAAAATAACTGGGTTACTACGCGCGCCCTCATTGGTCGATAGGTGTGTTTAAATGAGAGTTTGTAAACACGGTGCCGGTTGTGACGTTTAGATTCGCGTGTATTTTTGAGAAACATTTTATAAAAGCAATGGAGTAATCTTTTCTGTGTTTACATAGCCTCATCTAAAAACACGGGGGGTTAATGAAGCTATGTAAACACGAAAAAAGTCATCTATTGCTTAAATAGATGTCACATCTAAACAGTAATTATTTATGTGACAGAATTAACTACTGTTTAGAAATCTTGCCATGTCACGCATTTGAAAGAGAGTAGTGGGAAAAGGTATCTAAATTGCTGTGATTTAACGTTTCCAACAA